ACTTGCTCTCACTTTTGCTGGTGGTTGAACTCTCTCTCCTCTGCTGTGGTTGAACTCTGCTCTCTTCTGCTGTTTGGGGTTTAACTCTGCTCTCACTTGCTGTGGTTGAACTCTACTCTCACTCTGCTTTGAATTTTTCCCCACTCTTGTGGTTTGAACTCTACTCCCCCACTCTGCTGTGGGTTGAACTCTCTCTCCACTCTGTGTGGGTTGAACTCTCTTCACTCTGCTGTGGGGTTTACCCCTTTTTCACCTCTGCTGTTTGGGGTTGAACTCTCTCTCACCTCCGTGGGTTGAACCTCTCTCATTCTGCTGTGGGTTGGACACTGCTTCATCTGCTTGGGTTTTAAATCTGCTTTCACTCTGCTGTGGGTTGAACCTGCTCTCCTTGCTGTGGGTTGAACTCTCTCTCACCTGCTGTGGGTTTTTACCCTGCTTTCTCACTGTGCTGTGGGTTGAACTCTGCTCTCACTCTGTGTGGGTTAAAATCTGCCCCTCTGCTGTGGGTTGAACCTCTCTCACTCTCCTGTGGTTGAACTCTGCTCTCACTCTTTCTGTGGGTTGAACTCTCTTCACTCTTTTGGGTTGAACCCTTTCCTCACTCTTCTGTGGGTTGAACTCTACTCTTACTCTGGGTGTGGGTTGAACTCTACTCTCACTCTGTGTGGGTTGAACTCGCTCTCACTTTTGTGTGGTTTTAACTCTGCTCTCACTCTGTGTGGTTGAACCTGCTCTCACCTCTGTGGTTGAACTCTCTTCACTCTTCTGGGATGTAAATCTATCCCGCTGGGCTCTCTTCATTGCTGTGGGTTGAACTCTGCTCTCACTCCCTTTTGTGGGTTGAACTCTACTCTCACTCTGCTGTGGGTTGAACTCTACTCTACTCTTCTGTGGGTTGAACTCTACTCTCACTCTGCTGTGGGGTTTAACCCCTCCTCACTTTGCTGTGGTTGAACTCTAACCCTCTCACTCTGCGCCCCGTGGGTTGAACTCTACTCTCACTCTGCTGTGGGTTGAACTCTCTCTCACTCTGGTTGTGGTTGAACTCTCTCTCACCTGCTGTGGGTTGAACTCTCTCCCACTTGCTGTGGGTTGAAATCTGCTCTCACTCTGCTGTGGGTTGAACTCTCTCTCCTCTTTTTGTGGTTTTAACTCTACTCTCACTCTTTTGTGGTTGAACTCTCTCTCACTCTGCTGTGGGTTGAACTCTCTCTCACTCTGCTGTGGGTTTAACTCTTGCTCTCAAATCCTGTGGGTTGAACTCTCTCTCACTCTGCTGTGGGTTGAACTCTTCTCTCACTCTGCTGTGGGTTGAACTCTCTCCTCCCCTTCTGTGGGTTGAACTCTGCTCTACCTGCTGTGGTTGAACTCTCTCTCACTCTTTGTGGGTTGAACTCTCTCCCCACTCTGCTGTGGGTTTTAACTCCTCTCACCTTGCTGTGGGTTGAACTCTTCTCTCACTCTGCTGTGGGTTGAACTCTCCTCACTCTGCTGTGGTTGAACTCTCTCTCACCTGCTGTGGGTGAACTCTGCCTCACTCTGTGTGGGTGGGAACTCTGCTCACACTTTTGCTGTGGGTTGAACTCTTTCTCTCACTCTGCTGTGGTTGAACTCTGCTCTCACTCTGCTGTGGGTTGAACTCTTTTCACTCTGCTTGGGTTGAACTCTTCTCACCTGCTGTGGTTGAACTCTCTCTCACTCCTTGGGTTGAACTCTGCTCTCCACCTGCTGTGGGTTGGGAACTCTCTCTCACTCTGCTTGGGTTGAACTCTGCCCCTCACTCTGCTGTGGTTGAACTCTCTCTCACTTGCTGGGGAGTTGGGAAATCTGCTCTCACTCTGCTTGGTTGAACTCTGCTCTCACTCTGCTGTGGGTTGAACTCTGCTCTCACTCTGCTGTGGGTTGAACTCTGCTCTCACTCTGCTGTGGGTTGAACTCTGCTCTCACTCTGCTGTGGGTTGAACTCAGCTCTCACTCTGTTGTGGGTTGAACTCTGCTCTCACTCGCTGTGGGTGGAACTCTCTCCACTCTGTCTGTTGAACTCTGCTCTCACTCCCGCTTGGGTTTAACTCACTACTCACTCTGCTGTGGGTTTGAACCCCTGCTCTCCTCTGTGTTGGGTTGAACTCTTCTCTCCCTCGCTTGGGTTTGAACACTCTCTCACTCTGCGTTGGGTTGAACTCAACTCTCACTCTGCTGTGGGTTGAACTCAGCTCTCACTCTGCTGTGGGTTGAACTCTGCTCTCACTCTGCTTCAATAACTGTCAGATAAACACTAGTGCATTTAATATGTTTGTCATATATTTATCTGCTTATAATAGGTGAGAAGAGCACAATTGACACGTTTCGCGCATAGACAGGCTTCTTGAGTCAGTGACCGAAACAGCACCTGGGAGCTCCTTGAATTCTGTCTGGAGAGTGTTCCGATTGTCAACGCCCCCGCTGCCCGGTCCCCGACCAGGCGTCAGGATGATGGCCATATTTACCAGGGTGTTGGTGCTAGCCGCACTAAGTCCAGTGTAACCGCCACAGCCTGGCTGATCAAGAACTGATTTGAGGAACTTGTCCAGTTCTCTCTTGAAGACAGTCAGGGGTCTGTTGGTAATCCCCTGCGTTAAGGGAAGACATTGCTTACTTCACACTTACCGAGTTTTTCCTTTTCATTAGGTGTGTTTTGCACCATCTGCAAAATCTCTTACTTTCATGGGGGAACAATTCGTGTGTGTACATTATAATGTATCTTTCTCGCCTACGTTTCAAGGAACAGAGATCGAGGGACTTCTAACGTTCCCAGTAAAATTTAGATGCTTGACGGAATCCATGTTAGCAGTGAAGGTTCTCTGCACGTTCTCCAGGTCTCTAATTTCACCTGCCATGAGCGGAGCTGTTGTTAGGTAAGACACATATGCAACAGTTAGGTATCTTTATTTCGAAACGTTTCGCCTACACAGTAGGCTTCTTCAGTCGAGTACAGAAAAGTTGATAGAAGCAGAAGATACTTGAAGACGATGTAATCAGTCCATCACCCTTAAAGTTTTGAGGTGGTCAGTCCCTCAGTCTGGAGAAGAGCATTGTTCCGTTGTCTGAAACAATATTGTTTCAGACAACGGAACAATGCTCTTCTCCAGACTGAGGGACTGACCACCTCAAAACTTTAAGGGTGATGGACTGATTACATCGTCTTCAAGTATCTTCTGCTTCTATCAACTTTTCTGTACTCGACTGAAGAAGCCTACTGTGTAGGCGAAACGTTTCGAAATAAAGATACCTAACTGTTGCATATGTGTCTTACCTAACAATCTGTCGGTATTTTATACCATTTTAATGTTCAGCGGAGCTGTTAGAGTACAACAGTACTCCAGCCTAGAGGGAACAAGTGACTTAGAGTATCATCATTGGCTTAACATCTCGTGTCTTGAATGTTCTAGTTATCTAACCTATCATTTTTTCTGAGTGCTCCGTGACTGCTAAGTGAGTTAATATGTATAATGGGGATCTTTATCTCACCATTGTAGTATCGTAGTTTCACACTTAACTTTATCTTGGTTTACGTCCCATGACATACCACTCACTTTTCCCTCCTATTTATATATATATATATATATATATATATATATAATATATATATATATATATATATATAATATATATATATAATTGTAAACACGAACGAATGGTATTGATCAATAACAACACTGCACTAGCCAAGGACTCGAACCCATGCTGCTTTCCCCTGCCTCATGGTGGGCGAAAACACATGACGCCCTTATCCACTAAACCATACGATCCTTGGCTAGTGCAGTGTTGTTATTGATCAATACCACTCGTTCGTGGTTACAGTCAGTAATATAAAATACTGCTCGTTGTACTAGTACACCAAACTAGTACCCCCAGCTAATTCTACGCCTTTCTAGAGAGTGCAGATTCAGGGCCCTCAGTCTGTCCTCATAGGGAAGATTTCTGATACATGGGATCATCTTTGTCATCCTTCTTTGTACGTTTTCCAGAGCATTTATATCCATTCTGTAATACGGTGACCAGAACTGAGCAGCATAGTCTAAATGAGGCCTAACCAAGGTTATATAGAGTTGAAGAACAACCTGAGGACTTCTATTATTTATACTTCTAGATACGATGCCAAGAATTCTGTTAGCTTTATTGCGAACACTAATGCACTGTTGTCTTGGTTTCAGATTACTGCTAACCAGAACTCCTAAATCCTTTTCGCAGTCAGTAGTATTATGATCTGCACTGCTCAGTTTATAAGTGGCATGGTTATTGTCCTGTCCAACATTTAGAACTTTGCATTTGTCTATATTAAACTGCATCTGCCACTTCTCCGACCACTGCATCAGTCTATTCAAATCATCCTGGAGTGCACTAATGTCCTCGATAGAATGAATTGGACTGACCCCTGTGGAACACCGCTTGTGACGTGCCCCCATTCTGATTTCTCCCCATTTATGCAAATTCTTTGCTGCCTATTTGTCAGCCATGCCTCTACCCAGGAAAAAAATTCTCCTCCTATTCCGTGTGCCTTAAGTTTCCTCAATAACCTCTGGTGTGGAATTCTATCGAAAGCCTTACTGAAGTCCACATACACAATATCATATTCATTACCATGATCTACCTCCTCAAACACCTTAGTGAAAAAAGTTAGTAAATTCATAAGACAGAAATGCCCCTTAGTAAAACCGTGTTAAGATTTGTCAATTTATGCATATATATATATAATATATATATATATATATATATATATATATATAAAATATATATATATATATATATATATATATATATATATATGTATATATATAATGGAGTTTATTTCTATAATCTATAAAGGAATACTTTACCTTTTTAAGCGAAATTATTGGTTATGAATTGTTACATTAACGTTATTATTATTGTTTATTGTTGCATGTGGTGCATTCTTATAGACGTGTTCACTGTAGCGTCCCTGGGTGTGTCTTAATGATATATTTTTATTGTTTACTCAGAGTTGTTCGCGGGCGACACACAGCACTTGCAGTGATGGTTCCCTGCTCTCCATGGGCAGCTCTGAGAACGATGAGGTGAGTACTCTTGTTATGTTGAACACTCTGGTACTCATGTTGAACCTATGTACTCTGATACTCATGTTAAACAAATACTCTCTGGTACATGGTCATAAAGATTGGGGAAGTACACAGAAGACCGCAGACGGAGTACAGTTTAGGAAACCAACAGCTGTAAACGTCAATTAAAGGAAAGGATCTTGGGGTAAGCATTATAACGAACATGTCCCCTGAGGCACACATCAATCAAATAACTGCTGCAGCATATGGGAGATTGGCGTTTAGACATCTGAGTAAGGAGTCATTCACGACATTGTACACAGTGTTCGTAAGGCCTATACTGGAATGTGCAGCGCCAGTATGGAACCCTCACTTAGTCAAACACGTCACGAATTGGAGAAAGTGCAAAAATTTGCAACACGATTAGTCCCGGAACTGAGGGGTATGTCTTATGAGGAGAGGTTAAGGGAACTCAACCTGATGATACTAGAGGATAGGAGGGATAGAGGGGACATGATAACAACGTGTAAAATACTAAGAGGCATTGACAAGGTGGACAAGGATCGAATGTTTCAGAGACGGGATACAGAAACAAGGGGACACAATTGGACGCTGAAAATCCAGATGAGTCATAGGGATGTTAGGAAGTATTTCTTTAGTCTTAGAGTTGTCAGGAACTGGAATAATCTGGAGAGTGAAGTATTGTATTGTCCAGACCAGAGCTTTGGTAAGATGGGTAAGGAAGAAGGATGGGTAAGGATAGAAATATTGGAAAAGGGTGGGAGGGAGGAGAGAGGTAGGATATAAAAGGGTGGGAGGGGGGGGAGCAGAGGTAGGATATAAAAGGGTGGGAGGGGGGAGAGAGGTAGATATAAAAGGGTGGGAGGGAGGAGAGAGGTAGGATATAAAAGGGTGGGAGGGGGGAGAGAGGGTAGGATATAAAAGGGTGGGAGGGGGGAGAGAGGTAGGATTATAAAAAGGGTGGGAGGGGGGAGAGAGGTAGGATATAAAAGGGTGGGAGGGGGGAGAGAGGTAGGATATAAAAGGGTGGGAGGGGGAGAGAGGTAGGAAAATAAAAGGGTGGGAGGGGGGGAGAGAGGTAGGATATAAAAGGTAAGTGGCCAACCACTTTGGTGTAATTTAAAAAGTGTATGTGAAATGATAAGATATTCTTTAAGGGGTTATAATACTAACCCATCAGAGTCACATAGATATAACAGATATATAAGTACATGACTCTGAATTGGTAGTAATTATACAAGTTGCAATTGTTTTTTTTTGCGATTGCACAACGGATATTTATGCGACAATGAAGGCAATAATTTTCTGGCCAGTTTATAGAATTACGTGACAATGGCTTCTTACAGGTGGTGTCCAGCCATGGTAAATAGCATAATTTTTACATTAGATTGTTATATAAGATGTCTCCCTAATTGGGGGCGATGATGTTCTCAGTATACATAGAAGGGTTCTGGTGTTACCCAATCTTCTTCATCACGGAGGTTGCTCAATATCATGGGTCGAGGGTAATCATCTTTATGTATAAAACGACGAACCCTCTGTGGGAGAGTCATTCTTTGAGTCCTGTGAGGAGGAGTATTGATGGTATAATCCGTGGTATTTACCACTTGTATAGGATGTTCTCTATCTGGCATGTATAGTTCTTGCATTGTATAGAGTTGTTTCTTTTTTAGGGTGTCAAGGCGTACATTTATGGCAGTAATATCTTGTTGTACGTGTAAATCTGCCATTTTAACTCTGTCTCTCCTCCTGGTATCGGTAATGAAGCGAAGAGCTCTATTCTGGACCCTTTGTAACCGTAGCATATTGGTCTTTGTTGTTAATGACATTGGGACACAAGGGTATTCGAGTATAGGTCTTATTATCATTTTATACAGATGTTTTTTGACATGTTGAGGGGCTTGATTGAATCGAAAGAGACTGCTAAGACCGGCTTTGGCTATGTTGATCTTTTTAGTTACATGAGATGTTGAGTGGAGCAGCCTGTCTATTTCATATCCCAAAATCTTGTTAGAGTTTCTAATGGCTACAGATGTACCTCTGATGGAGATACCCCCTTTATCTTCGATGGTTGATGCAAAACATCCTATAGTGCTAACAAGGACTTTGTCAGGATTAGTCGTAATTCTCCATTTCTTTTCCCAGTTAGATGTTCGACGAAGTTCAATATTAATTTTTTCTATGACTCTCTCGTACTTGTATTTTCCTGTTATCGGAGTTGATGAGACGACATGAATAACATCATCTGCAAACTGTGTCTCAGTTGTGTCATTAAACTCTGGTTGAGGAAGGTCATTGACATAAATGTTGAATAGAATTGGACTGAGACAAGAACCTTGTGGGACACCAGCTGTTGGTATAAAAGGCTCTGTCGACCTGCCGCGAAAGGTGGGAATGATTTTTCTTTGAGTTAAGAAATTATATATTAATCTGAGAAAAGTCCAATTATGGTCTGGTAGGTCAATGAGTTTGTATATAAGGCCATCATGCCATAAGCTATCAAAAGCTTTATGAACATCTCTGGTGACAATTAAGGCAAGATTGCCCTGATGTTTTAGACTTGCTACAGTATCGAAAATAACATTTATTGCATGATTGGTACCTCTATGTGTTCTAAAGCCAAATTATTTTTCAGTAAAAAGGTGATTAAACTCCATATAGTAGTTCAATCTGTTGGAAATGACTTTCTCAAGAACTTTTCCAGTGACTTCAAGTAAAGATATAGGTCTATAGTTCCCAGGTTGGTGAATGTATTTATTGGGCTTAGCAAGAAAGATCATCGTAGCAGTCTTAAAAACAACTGGAAAATGTCCTGAGGCCAAGATGGCATTAAAGATATTTACCAAAGACTGTTTACAATTTCTGGACAGGAACTTTATTTGTTTCATTGTTATTCCAGAGAGACCAGGGGCTCTATTTCGCATTCTTCCAATGAATAACCTGACTCATCTCTAGTAATGTAATAGGTCTAGTAAGCGGGTGGGTATCTTCAAGAGTTGAAGTATCGATGGAAGGTAGTGGTTGTAGATCATCCAAGTTCTCATCTCTCCATTCATTTTACCAACTGATAATGATTATTGTTAAATTGACTACTGTTATTGTGGGAGAGAATTTTCTCCCATACATCACCCATCAAATTAGCCTGGTCCTGTGGATCGTCAAGTTTAATTTCAACATCCTCATCAGTGAAGGTATGAACTAGGTAGTTAGGAGCCTTGTGCTTTGCCCCTAAAAGTTGTCGGATATTACTCCAAAATTTTGCTGGTTCACGTTTATACTGATTAGCTTGAAGAACTAGCAATTTCCATAAGTCCCGTTTGTGATGACTAATCATGTTAATTAATTCTTGCCTTGATCGGTGCAGTGTAGCTACTGGTGGTTGTCGCGCTTGAAGATGCCTTCGACATTCTGCTTGATAAATTCTTAGTGTCTCTAATTTCCCTAGTAGGTTTATATTGTTGGTATATCTTTGTGGAAGCTAATTGACAAGTTGCATTAGTAGCTTCAATTATTCGATTATGCAGGGACCTGATTGCGTCATCAATTGCAGTGGAAGGTAGATTTTCCAATGACACAATTTCATCCTCACCCAGAAATGCCCTGAAGGGGTCAAATCCTAGGGTGTTAAGATTGGGTTTAGGAGTTACAGGTATTCTAAATGGAGAAGTTTGTAGTTGTATTATAACAGGGATATGGTCAGATCCTACATTTCCACCAGGAGATATACGACAGTGAAAGATGTCACAGTCTCTGTTTGTCAGGACTATATCTGGTGTCCCTGGATGAGGACCAATATACGATTTAAAGAATGGGCTTTGAAATGACAAGTTTCTAGCTGTCATGATATTAGTTGTTTTCCTTTCAAGTCACCCAGTGGAATACCAGCTCCACAGTTGAAGAGGGCAGGGTGATGAGCATTAAAATCTCCCGCTAGAATTGTTGGAATATTTCTGCTTAATATCCTATGTAGAGGAATTGACTCTATATATTGTTGTCTCGGGGAAAAATATCCAGTTCCTATCACTAGTTGTCCATGAGACGTTGTCATTTCTATTGCAAGAATGTTATCTTCATCAACATGAATATTTTTAAAAGTATAGCCTAATTTAACTAAGATGGCTACACCACTATAGGGTCCTCTCGATTTCTCCACAGTAGAGTAACCACGTAATTTAATATGTTGATCAACTCTCGCAGCTGTCTCGTTCAAAAGTACAACATCGGGATTGTAATTATGTAGTTCAACCTCAAGGAGGTAACGGTTATTGAAGAAATGTTAAACATTCAGTTGGAAAATTGTAATCCCCATTATTTCTTGCACTTCGCTCGTGTACTGCGGTCTGAACGTCTGCAAGTAATGTCATGTTTGGTATCCACACTATCCCTGCTGGACTCGTCAAGGGGAGGAGGGAACTTCTGCGTAGTTGCTTGTGTATTAAAAATGCCATCATCTTCACTAGAGGTAGTAATATTAACAGACTCATTAGAGTCATTAGAGTCATCATCAGAAAACTGAGGTATGATATTCCCAGTTACAGGAAGTAGAGGCTCGTGAGAGTTAATGGGAGACTGTGGAGGTTCCAAGGGAAAATTAGGTAGGCAAGGTGAGTTATCCTGGGAAAGTTCCTGTTCAACAGGATCAGCTTCAATAGCGGGAGAGTAGGCACCACTTTCTGGGGCATCATTATGTTCAGGTGTTGACTTATCGGGTTGAGGGGAGTTGACAACCTGGGTATGCGAAGTGGGCGATCCCTGAGCCAGGGATGACTTAGGCTTGTTTGTAGATGTAGAGTAGGGTACATACTTCTTGTTATGAGAAGGCTGAGAGTGATCCCATTAGCCATTAACAGATTATTTAAAACCTGAGAGCAGAGTTGAATGTCACCACCTGCTATGTCTTTGGCCATCATATACATTAGTTGTGCTCTCGTCATATCCCCGGCTGTGGATACCTGAGACCTAGGAGATGAGACTGAACCTTGTTGTTGCGTTTGTGTATGTTGTAGGTGAGGGTTAGATTGGGGCGCTCCAAGAGGGGCAGAATTCCAAACATTGGAACCAGTGGTAGAGACCTGAGGAGTACCACTTGATCCAGGCAGAGCTGGGAAGGAAGTTTGGGACATCGTTGGCGGTGCCTGGGGAGTGGTCTTCTTAGAAGTGGACAGTTTCTTAGCTTCAATAATTTTCTGCATTTCCTTTTTCCTCTCAGGACAGATAGCAGAAACAGCATGGTGTTTTCCGTTGCAGAGGACACATTTGAATGTATTTTTATTAGTACAATCTCTATAAGAATGTTGGCCAGAGCAAATGCTACAAATCTGCCCTTGAGTACTGCATTTGTTGGTGTTATGACCAAAGGCATAACACTTAAAACATTGTGTCACACTGACAAATCGTTCAAGAGAGATTTGGTCAGGTGTACATCTGGTGCCAAAACATTTGAAGCCATTTTGACACACAAGTTTGGCCTCCTCAGGTGTCTCAAGTATTAACTTTAAGGTTACCTTGTTGTTGTTAGGTTTAGAGAATTTATGTGCTTCTACAGCCCTAAATTCAGAATTCTCCGTATTAATGTCCTCAACAATTTCATTCGCTGTTCTATGTCGCATGAAACTGTTGATTCTTGCAACAAACACAGTCCTCTGAGCTTGATAGCTTTCAGGTGCAACTGGGGTAACACCAGAAGTCTTCAGTTTGTCAAGAACATCATGCTTCAGCAGTTGAAGTAACTCTTCTTCCGAAGAGAGGAGAAGTACTGCTCCAGCGTGGGTTTGAAAAACATCCACTGGAGCAACAGTTGAGTTCCAGCAAATACATGCTAGAATTTCTTTCATCGACTTTTGGTTGCCATTATGTCTAGGAAGGAACATCTGGCAGAGAAGTTACTTTAACAAAAAGGGTCTTTCCTTAGTGTTATTCTAGCATCCTATTTCACCTGACTTATGAAGGTCAGCCCCTAAGATAGCCTACCCTCGAGTAGTGAGGGTAAAGGGCCCAAGGCAAAGATCGGCTGGATTTTAAAAAACCACACGGGCTACCGGATGGTCAAAATGCCTTGTGTTAACTCGCCAAAGCGAAGTTGCCGAAAAAGAAAAAGATAGGAAAGTCAGAAGGATAGCAATGTATGTAGTGTGTTAGTGTGTGGGCCAGTGTAGATGTTTGGGTGAGGGGAGGATGGGGAAGGATGGGGGGATGGGGATGAGAGGGGTGAACAAGCAAGCAAGTCACCGCCTTACCCTCTTGATGGGATGAGGCTCGAAGTGACTGCAAGCAAGTTTCCTCTCAGCTCTGGTGAAGAACTACTCAGGATAACCCAAGAAAAATCTCAGAGTAACAGTGTTCAGAGTTGCTCAGCTGAAGAGCAGGAACGACGACGTCTCTCCACGGCGGCTGGGCTGCTTCCATTTCCTGTATCTGTGTCGGAGAGTGAAGTAGTGGAGGCAAGTTCCATAAATAGCTTTAAGAAGAGGTATGACAAATATCATGGAGCAGGGAGAGAGTGAATTAGTATCGACCAGCGAAGAGGCGGGGCCAGGAGCTATGACTCGACCCCGGCAACACTGTTGACACCTCCAGTTGAAATGCCATTTTTTAATATTCGTAGATCAGTGCGTGTTGAGCCACAGCTGGGTCACTGTCCTCAGCGGGCTCACTGTTTCCAGCTGGCTCACTGTTTCCAGCTGGCTCACTGTCCTCAGCGGGCTCACTGTCTCCAGCTGGCTCACTGTCTCCAGCTGGCTCACTGTCTCCAAATGGCTCACTGTCCCCAGCTGGTTCACTGTCTCCAGCTGGCTCACTGTCTCCACCTGGCTCTCTCTCAGCTGGCTTACTGTCTCCAGCTGGCTCACTGTCCTCAGCGGGCTCACTGTCTCCAGCCGGCTCACTGTTCCCATGCGGCTCACCTGGGCACTGTCTTCTAAGACAGCACCAGGGCACTGTCTTCCAAGACAGCACCAGGGCACTGTCTTCCAGGACAGCACCAGGGCACTGTCTTCCAAGACAGCACTAGGGCACTGTCTTCTAATGCAGCACCAGGGCACTGTCTTCCAGGACAGCACCAGGGCACAGTCTTCCAAGACAGCACCAGGGCACTGTCTTCTAAGGCAGCACCAGGGCACTGTCTTCTAAGGCAGCACCAGGGCACTGTCTTCTAATGCAGCACCAGGGCACTGCCTTCCAGGAAAGCACCAGGGCACTGTCTTAAAAGACAGCACCAGGGCACCGTCTTCTAAGGCAGCACCAGGGCACTGTCTTCTAATGCAACACCAGGGCACTGTCTTCCAGGACAGCACCAGGACACTGTCTTCTAAGGCAGCACCAGGGCACTGCCTTCCAGGACAGAACCAGGGCATTGTCTTCCAAGACAGCACCAGGGCACTGTCTTCCGAGACAGCACCAGGGCACTGTCTTCCAAGACACCACCAGGGCACTGTCTTCAAAGGCAGCACCAGGGCACTGTCTTCTAAGGCAGCACCAGGGCACTGTCTTCTAAGGCAGCACCAGGGCACTGTCTTCTAAGGCAGCACCAGGGCACTGTCTTCTAAGGCAGCACCAGGGCACTGTCTTTCAAGACAGCACCAAGGCACTGTCTTCTAAGGCAGGCAGCACCAGGGCACTGTCTTCTAAGGCAGCACCAGGGCACTGTCTTCTAAGGCAGCACCAGGGCACTGTCTTCTAAGGCAGCACCAGGGCACTGTCTTTCAAGACAGCACCAAGGCACTGTCTTCTAAGACAGCACCAGGGCACTGTCTTCCAAGACAGCACCAGGGCACTGTCTTCTAAGGCAGCACCAGGACACTGTCTTCCAAGACAGCACTAGGGCACTGTCTTCGAAGACAGCACCAGGGCACTGTCTTCTAAGGCAGCACCAGGGCACTGTCTTCTAAGACAGCACCAGGGCACTGTCTTCCAAGCCAGCACCAGGGCACTGTATTTCAAGACAGCTCCAGGGCACTGTCTTCCAAGACAGAACCAGGGCACTGTCTTCCAAGACAGCTCCAAGGCAGCACCAGTGCACTGTCTTCCAAGACAGCACCAGGGCACTGTCTTCTAAGGCAGCACCAGGTCACTATCTTCTAAGGCACCAGAAGGGCACTGTCTTCTAAGGCAGCAACAGGGCACTGTCTTCTAAGGCAGCAACAGGGCACTGTCTTCTAAGGCAGCACCAGGTCATTGTCTTCTAAGGCACCACCAGGGCACTGTCTTCTAAGGCAGCACCAGGGCACTGCTGTCTAATGCAGCACCAGGGCACTGCCTTCTAAAGCAGCACCAGGGCACTGTCTTCCAAGACAGCACCACGGCACTGTCTTCGGAGACAGCACCAGGGCACTGTCTTCCGAGACAGCACCAGGGCACTGTCTTCTGAGACAGCACCAGGGCACTGTCTTCCGAGACAGCACCAGGGCACTGTCTTCCAAGACAGCACCAGGGCACTGTCTTCTAAGGCAGCACCAGGGCACTGTCTTCTAAGGCAGCACCAGGGCACTGTCTTTCAAGACAGCAGGAAGGCACTGTCTTCTAAGGCAGCACCAGGGCACTGTCTTCTAAGACAGCACCAGGGCACTGTCTTCCAAGACAGCACCAGAGCACTGTCTTCTAAGAACCACCTGGACACTGTCTTCCAAGACAGCACTATGGCACTGTCTTCCAAGACAGCACCAGGGCACTGTCTTCTAAGGCAGCACAGGCAGCACCAGGGCACTGTCTTCCAAGACAGCACCAGGGCACTGTCTTCCAAGACAGCACCAGGGCACTGTCTTCCAAGACAGCAACAGGGCACTATCTTCTAAGGCAGCACCAGGGCACTATCTTCTAAGGCAGCACCAGGGCACTGTCTTCTAAGGCAGCATTAGGGCACTGTCTTCTAAGGCAGCACCAGGGCACTGTCTTTCAAGACAGCACGAAGGCACTGTCTTCTAAGGCAGCACCAGGGCACTGTCTTCTAAGACAGCACCAGGGCACTGTCTGACAAGTTAGCACCAGGGCACTGTCTTCTAAGAACCACCAGGGCACTGTCTTCCAAGACAACACCAGGGCACTGTCTTCTAAGGCACCACCAGGGCACTGTCTTCTAAGGCAGCACCAGGGTACTGACTTCCAAGATAGCACCAGGGCACTGACTTCCAAGACAGCACCAGGGCACTGTCTTCTAAGGCAGCACCAGGGCACTGTCTTTAAGAAGCACCAGGACACTGTCTTCCAAGTCAGCACTAGAGCACTGTCTTCCAAGGCAGCGCCAGGGCACTGTCTTCTAAAGCAGCACCAGGGCACTGTCTTTCAAGACAGCACGAAGGCACTGTCTTCCAAGACAGCACCAGGGCAATGTCTTCTAAGAAGCACCAGGACACTGTCTTCCAAGACAGCTCTAGGGCACTGTCTTCCAAGACAGCTCTAGGGCACTGTCTTCCAAGACAGCACCAGGGCACTGTCTTCCAAGACAGCACCAGGGCACTGTCTTCCAAGACAGCTCCAGGGCACTGTCTTCTAAGGCAGCACCAGGGCACTGTCTTCCAAGACAGCACCAGGGCACTGTCTTCCAAGACAGCACCAGGGCACTGTCTTCCAAGACAGCTCCAAGGCAGCACCAAGGCACTGTCTTCTAAGGCAGCACCAGGGCGCTGTCTTCCAAGGCAGCACCAGTGCACTGTCTTCCAAGACAGCAGCAGGGCACTGTCTTCTAAGACAGCACCAGGGCACTGTCTTCTAAGGCAGCACCAGGTCACTATCTTCTAAGGCACCACCAGGGCACTGTCTTCCAAGATAGCACCAGGGTACTGACTTCCAAGATAGCACCAGGGCACTGTCTTCCAAGACAGCACCAGGGCACTGTCTTCTAAGGCAGCACCAGGGCACTGTCTTCTAAGGCAGCACCAGGGCACTGTCTTCTAAGGCAGCACCATGTCACTGACTTCTCAGGCAGCACCAGGGCACTGCCGTCTAATGCAGCACCAGGGCACTGCCGTCTAATGCAGCACCAGGGCACTACCTTCTAAGGCAGCACCAGGGCACTGTCTTCCGAGACAGCACCAGGGCACTGTCTTCCGAGACAGCACCAGGGCACTGTCTTCCGAGACAGCACCAGGGCACTGTCTTCCGAGACAGCACCAGGGCACTGTCTTCCAAGACAGCACCAGGGCACTGTCTTCTAAGGCAGCACCAGGGCACTGTCTTCTAAGGCAGCACCAGGGCACTGTCTTTCAAGACAGCACGAAGGCACTGTCTTCTAAGGCAGCACCAGGGCACTGTCTTCTAAGACAGCACTAGGGCACTGTCTTCCAAGACAGCACCAG